TCTTTTTTATTAAGATAGCCTAAGATGTCCTCTTTCATTTGAAAAAAAAATTGAATCCATGAGACTTGGGCAACTCCAGGAGATAGTAAAAGCGCAACCCATGGTAATAGGACAAAAAAATTGACTGGCCATTTTAAAATCAAAAAATAAACATCAAAAATTTTAAATTTCACAATTATCTCCACATTTTTGAATTCAGTAATCTCAAAAATGGCTGGGTATCAATTTTTAGTCATACTCTTTTACTAGAACTTAAATTATTTATTAAAAAGCACAACAACAAAAACCATAATGGCGGACTTGGTTAAAAAAAGGATGTTTTAGGCTAAATTTCAAAATGTCATAACTTTTGAACCGTTTGGATTTGGGTGCTCAAACTTTACATTTTTTCATCTTTCATTAATAGGTACCAGTGGTAAAAATTTAAAGAAAATCTGAGGGGTGACAGAAATGACTGTCCCACTTTTACATGGAATTACCCAACTATATTGTCTATGACATTGCCAAACTTACATTCAAATGGAACAACGGAATTTAAATTTGTACTAGTACCATCAAATGTAATACTTTTGATACAAAGTTCATATGTCAAAGCCACATCTAAAATATTTTTGATAAAACATGTTAAATCACTTGCTTTAACTTTATTTGATAAAACATAACCAATGGGTGTTTTCCAATGTCCTCGCAAACCAACTAACATGAAAATTAATGCCTCTGTAGCTGGAGTATCAGGTTCACATACAGAAATATCTTTACCAAAATCACAAAAACTAATATAGTGACCTGAACTTTTGTCATAAATTATACTGTTTTTGATTGCCATAGCATCAATAATAAGAGCACAATGCTTAAAATTAATATCTGTTTTCTGTTTATCACCAAGATATGAAAAAACATCAAGGAATAAACCGGGATCACAATTTACAGATGATGTCCAATGTGATATTGAACTGGCAGCAGGAAGACATAACATTGGCCGAAGAAAGTTATACGCACGTGGAGAATAAAAATGAAGAGTTAAAGCGAATTTTTTTACTTTATCGCTGTATCTGTGACCTTTTGGGTTAATATTTTGATTGAAAAATTGGTTCTTAATAATTTCATATGAGAGTCCAGAAAAATTTTCGCTTAAAACAGTTCCAGCATCAGTAGTCAAATAATTTTTAGATTTTAAAAGGAAAACCATGTCTTGTAAAGAGCAGATTTTCTTTTCTCTTCTTCTTAATTTTTGTTGTAAAACCTTAACTTTTTTTTTTAATTTTTCTTTTGCTGGTGATAAAGATTTTATAGATTGTGTTGGAGATTGTCTAGTGTGGTCATTTTGATCAATAGTGCTTTCTGGCTGATCATTATGTGTTGAAATAATTTCTTTGCTTGGTTTGTCTATAACAGGGCAAACATCAAACTTTGTTTTTTTCGAAAAAGAATCAAATTTAGATAATGAATTTACTGATGTTCGTATTGATGGGAGTTTCCTTTTAGTCTTTTGAATATTTGTAGAAAATACAAAAACTGATGGCACAGCATTACATTTTAAAATAGGCTTATGATAATGATCAAGAATTAGATTTTTTTTGTCAGGGATACAGTAATTGTAGTCTGATTCTAAAAAATGGTCGCTGCAGATACAGGTGTGTTTGGATGGAACAAAATTTTCACGTTTCAAAGCAATAATCCATTTTTTACATAATTCAGAATTTTGAAAAGGAAATTTATGAAAGGATTTCTTGCCACCTTTTATGTATCTATTAGAACATCCATATGCAGCACAAGAATTTACCATTTTGTGATGCTAATAGTTGAATTAAATAAATACTTCAGCAAGGTAAAAGAAATAATGTCGCGAATTTACTCTCTATATTATATATGATATTTACTGTTTTCTGCCCGATATAATAATGGCTGATTAAAATAGTAAACAAATAAATCGGCTTCACTTTTATTTTATAAAAATCCCGAAGTTAGGCATCTAGTTATTTATTTACGTCATTGAACCAGATTGACAAATTTCAGGTTGAAAACCAGCAAAAAATTTGATTGATTAAACAAGACAAATAATATTGTGAAACAAGAATGGAGAAATATCAAAAGTATTTTGATTATGAAACTGGTGGACTCAATGTCACTGTCAAGCTCTAAAGGGCTTTCCGACAAAATACTAAGGAAAGTTACTTTAGAATAAAGCAAAACCTGAATTAGATTTTATTTTAAGCAAGTTTAAAAATTGTTTAGAATAAAATCTAATTCAAGTTTTTCTTTTCGGTGCGGATACTTTGGCACGCACATATTTTAATTGAATGAACATTTAAGGTTAGATTGCTTTAACTTAATACAAATTTTGAAAGAAAAAAAAAATTTGAAAGAAGTTGGACTTTTCATACGAAAAATATCTCAAGTTATACTCTTGTCCGGTTACGGTTGCAAAGAAACTTGACAAGACTCAAACACTTAATGTCTACCTATGAAAATGTTGGTTGTGTAGGGTATGTCTGTATTCAGAACTTTTAAACAAATTTATTGATTAAAAAAGTCAGCAACGTTAATGAAATCAATTATTTTTGGTCAAACGGTAATTGAATAGGTTTCATAAGTATGTCATTTGCGTAAAACAACAACTAAAGATTTCACAGTTTTTTCTATTAAATTGTTATTAGTGTTCCAAGTAAAGTTTTGCAAATATCTATTTTTGTACTAAAAATTTAGACATTTGCAATTTTTTATGGAAAATTTTGCAACATTTTTTCTGATATTCTTTGGATATTTAATAGCTTAAAGCATTATTTAGATAAAGGACGGGCAACTTTTGAAGATTTTTCCTCTTATACTATATAATACGTAAAATGCAAATAAATACTGCATTGATAAATTTTAAATTAGATGCTGAAACTCAAAATTGATTAGCAAATAACTGATTACTGAAAAAGAAATATAACCAATCTCTTGGTATATATTAGAAAAAGAAACATATGACATTCAAAGTTGTTAAAATGTTTTTGAATTTGTAAGTAGAATTAATTAAAGTAAAGAGATTCTCAAAATAAGGAGTTTGTTTAATGTCGAAAGTTTATTAAAATAAGTCCATTTTTCCTGAAGACAATTAACTCATAAAAAATTACAATTGACAACAAGATTGTTATATGTTGTAATTAATTATATAAAATCCAATATTACTAAGCATTTACAGGATCTGTACTAACCAATCCATTAAAGTAGGAACGTTTGTTTTAGAAAAAAGGAAGAAATTAAAAAGTATCTATAAATTTTCCAGCAACTGAAGAAACAAATACTAAAATAGTTGTTGCTATCTTATCTATTTAATCTACAATACCTAAAAACTTTTCACCTGCGAATTCAACTTCTTGAATAGTAAAAATACCTTTAAATATTTAATTTAGAACTTTTTTTATTAACAAAAATTTGTGTAATTATTTTAAAAAAAAAACTTGTTTTTAATATTCATTCTAGTAGATAAAAATATAAAATTAGATCTTGATGTAATAGATGCAAGTATAAAATTAGAGCTTGATGTAGTAGATACAAATATAAAATTAGAACTTGAAGTAGTAAATAAAAATATAAAATTAAAACTTGATAGCAAAGTAAAGTCGTTACAATGTAAAACCATCTCATTTTATATTTAACTGTTTGTGTACCACAAACAAGTAGCTTTAGAATATTTGTTGTATCAATAAAAAAAAGCTTATCTCATATAAAGGTTTTTTTACGATTTTATTTATTCCTTTATACTTAATAAAAATTAAATATATGCATATATACATAAAATTTGATTAAATTTCCATATTCTTTTTATTAATGTATATGGCTCAGCAAATCCTCTAAATCTGATTAACTAGAAATTATTGTTATGTTTGCTATTACTTACTAAAAAATTTCATTTACAAATAACAACTATTTTATTCACGAAAACAAAAAAGTTAAAGTTTTGATATATATAACAACAGATACTTGGTATATGTGACAACTGATAGTTTGACATTTGTTTCAATTTCAGTTAGTTGAAGAACAAATAGCTTGCATTATCACTAGCAACAAAAATAAGATGGAAACTGGTTTTGCTTGTTATTTTATGTGCTTACAATTAGCATTTTGAAGCTTGCATTTTAAAAATGTTTTTATATAATAAATGTAGTAAACGTAACTGTTTTTTTTGTAGCAAAAAAAATCTTTTAATTTTCATCATCCATTGTTTAAAACATCGCTATTAGGAGTAAAAGAGAGTTAGGTTTTAGATTTTTAATCAGAATATCTATTACATCCAGATCTATTACATCCAGATTAACACTCATTAGTACAGCATCTTCTTACTATTTTAAGTTTTATTTAATATAGTAAAAAATAAAGATTTTAATTTTACATTTTTACCTTCACTAAAAGCATTTTTTTAAAAGCTGTTTTTTTATTTGCCCTTATCGTTTAGGGGCTTGGCGATAAGACTGAATTTGTTTTCTTCTTGCCCCAGCCGTGTATATACAGTTTTTAAAGTCTAATTTTGTAAATATTTTCTTTATGGCGAAATATATATTATATATTATATTATATATAATTATATCGTATGCTTTTTGAAAAATTGTTTGTGAGGGCTCAGACCAAGTATATTAAAGAATTTGTGTGCAACTGTATGGTTGAGTTTAATTTATTTTTCTCAAATAAATATATTGCTAAAAATATATAAACTAAAAATATTAAATATTTGTTTTTAGTTAAAATTAATCAATCTGATAATATATCTTAACACACTTTAAAAAAATGTTTCTGTACGAGTGTGGGGAAAAAAGATTCTGACTTTTCCAACGTTTTGTGACATCTGCATTTAGAGCATTTTATTTCTATTATATGGAAATACTCAAACCTTTTGGTTGTAGAACTATACAATTTTATTTAGCACAACTCATAAAAGGATTAAAGTCTCATCGTACGACATTTATTTAAGTCGATCCCATAATTCAAAGCGTAATGCTTTAAAAGGTGTTATCAAGTATCGGCATTTGTTGCACGGCAAACGCAAACTATAGGTGAACTTTTAAAATCTTTTAGCTAAAATTCAAAAAGGCTTGAAACTTTATTTTTAAAAATGAAACTTTTCATCATTGGCACTCTAATAGCTTTTGTTGCAGGAAGACGTAAGCAATATTTTTTCATAGTTCATAATATAAACTTTAATATAAACAATATTATACATTAAAATTATTTATTTTATTAGAAGATGTAAAAAAATGTCCTATAGGACACAATTATCGAAAGGTAGCACACTATTGTAGCACCCTTTTTAAAATAATATATATGTTTGTACATATTAATCAAAATATAATTAAAATAATACATATGTTTGCACACCCGAATTAAAAAAACACATGTGTTTCAGAATTTATTATTTTGTTTTTATTATTTGATTAAGTTGCCTAATTGTATAATAAGTCTTTAAAGTTATTTGTATTTTTATTTTTACAAAAACGTAAAACTTTTCTCCCCCCTACTTTAGGATGCAGAGTCAGAATATTAAGATTTTTTTAACGCGATGAGCTGATTTAACAGGCGCAGCAAAGATTAAAAATTGCAATAAATTGCTTTTTTATGCAATAGAGATCATAAATCATACAGCGTTAATTATTTGAAAGATAATAAAAATAATGAAGCAAATCTATCCGTAATAAGTTAGGATGCAAAAGTATATTATAATGATTATAATTATTCTTTAATAAAATTAAAATGATAAAAAACAAAACATATTTTTATAGCAAATAACAAAGTTTGATTGAAAACGCTTTATTTACAATCTTCACCTAAATCCAATTAAAATCAAGATAAATAAAACAATTTGTAAAACATTTGTAAAACAAAAATCTTGTTTTGTTGAAACGTTCGCGCTGCAGTTAACAATTTTTTACTGGTCTTTGTAAAAAAATGGGTGTGGCGAAATAATGTCGCAACTTTTTGCATGTTGCAAATTCTTATTTTAACAAACTTTGTTGTTAAAAATGTAAAAAAAAAATGATCTTGCAAATCGTTGCATTATTAACTGTCGAAAACAGAATAAAGAAAAATCTCGCAAATAAATTAATTGAATAGTGTCGAAAACAAAAAAAGAATAGTGTCGCAAATGAATTTAATGAATAGTGTCAAAAACAAAAAAAAAAGGAACATTGCCACAAATGAATTTAATGAATAGTAACAAAAATAAAAAAATAATAATAGCTATAAATGTGTGCTAAGACAAAATGTGTGATGTCATACTGAAAAAGCATAATTAGTTAGGATGCAACAGAAAATTATAATGATTATAATAATTTTTTAATTTTATTTTAAGTTTAATTTTTGTCCCTTAATATTGCAAACTCGTAATTACATTAAAAAGATTCGTTAATAGTGAATATATTAATTGAAACAAAATATTGCAAAGTGATTTTACAAAAAACAAATAATTTAACTTTATCACTAAAATAATATATATTTTATCACATATAGAACGCGAAAAACTTGTAGAAGACCTCATAAATGGCTAACTTGGAAAAGGGTACATGTCCTGGAAAATTCACATAACATGCCCCCTTTTTTAAGTTAGCGATCAAATTAATAAAAGTTTAATTAATTTGATCATTCATTTCTGATGAGTCTTTATTGATGAAACACAGTGTTTAATGAGAAAAAATTTTACTAAGTGATTTCTTACTAATTTATTTATATATATATATATATATATATATATATATATATATATATATATATATATATATATATATATATATATATATATATATATATATATATATATATATATATATATATGTATATATATAAATATATATATATATATATATATATAAAATCAATAAATATTTAAGAAACTTGTAGAAATAAATTAAAAAAAAATCAATAACTAAACTTTTGTACTTTTACATACTAATATAAACTTTTTATAGATTAATTATAGAATAAATATAATTTTATAATTTTTTTTAACGATAAATAACAATATAACAAATTTTTATAACAAACAATATAGCTTAATCGAAAACGAAGCTTTATTCACAATCTTAATCTAAAGCCATTTAAATTAAATCAAGATAAAGATAAGCCGGAAGGGTGCGGTTTATTTTTGTTTTAAAAATAAAGCGAATCCTCGTTTTTTTTTAAAACAAGCGCGCTGCAGTTTAAAAATTCTTAGAGGCTTAGTTAAAAAAAATGGGTGTGGCGGAATAGTGCCACAAATTTGATTGTCAAAAATGTAAAAAAAGAATAGTCTCGCAAATGAATTTAATCAACAGTGTCGAAAACAAAACAAAAAAAAAGGAGTATTGTCGCACATTAATTTATTGAATAGTGTCAAAAATAGAAAAAAGGAATAATGTTCTAAAGGAATTTAATGAATAGTAACAAAATATTCACCAACTATATTCTGTCTGCTGCCGCCAAGGAGTACCGCTATATCGACGGAGGGTTTAGGGATTAGTAGCAATCTTTTCTTTTATCATTTTTTTTTTTTTTCTGTAAAAGCCGTATGCTAGTAAGATAAGCGAGTAAACAATTTCTGATATTATTAATTTGCAACACTATTTCGTTTTTACTAATTGCGACAATATTACTTTTTTTTGTTTTTGTCACTATTCATTGAACTCATTTGCGACACTATTCCTTTTTTTTGCGACATTAGCCCTTTTCAATATATCGATACTATTCTGAAGTTTATTTTTTGACACTATTCCTATCACTTAAAAAATTTCTTTTGATTGAGATTTTAATTCAGAACAACAATAGCTTTTTCAGAAAAAAATTATTTTACGCGTTATACGCGTAGTATACGCGTTAGGTAACAACAAGTAAGTACTATATAACAATTATTTTTTGTAAAAATATTTGTTATCGTTTATTATCAAAATTAAAAATATATTGAAATATTAAAACCAACTTTGCGCTTGTAATTTCTAAAAACTTTTAAGTTTCTGGAGAAGCTAAAGACGAAAAGACGTGTAACAACATGTATAGACTTGTAGACGTCTGTAAAAATTTAATGTATAATGGTTTTTTAACAAGAAAGTATAGTGAAACAAAATTGCATCAAATGAGAAATAAAAAATTTCACATTAAGTGGTCAATAAATAGAACCCGTGAATTTTATCAAGTATCTTAGTACCGAAATTGATTCCAATTTAAGTTTTGCATCCCAGGTTTAAAGCACTTAGCACTGAAACTAAGCAGGTCCAACGGTATGTTGGCCAAAGTTCAACATTTTCTTAATCTTGAAACGCTCCTTAACATATATCATGTTGCTTTTGAGTTTCATCTTAGATGTGCTTGTCAAATATGAGGACAAACCTAATTTCTAACTTTTAAAAGATTATTTCACCTCTAAAATAAAGCCCTAAAAATAATCTTTTTTCAGCATTTTAACTCTGATCCTAAATTCCTCTACAACATATCAAAGATAATTAAATTAAAAGACCTTGTTCAACACTCCAAATACATACAATAAATATATGTACCAAAAATAATAATTTTCACTATAACTCTTTATACTACTCTAGATAACCAACCATCATTTTTATTTTCCAATCTAAGATAACTAGCCAACCACCATTTTTATTTTCCAATCTAAGTAAATTATCAAACCACTATTTTTATTTTCCAATCTAAGATACTTAGATAACCACTTTTTTTTTTATAAAAAAAAAAAAATCATTTAAAACTGAAACTGTTGTTGTTTGTTACTATAAATAGTTAAATTCATACTTTGCTTTATTTTAAAGTGTCTAATGTAAAATCAAATAATAGACATCAACACCGCTTGACACTGATTTCTGTCAAGTAAGCTTTCGGTTCATCAAGCAAAATTTCTTATATTTCAACGACCATTAAATTTATTACGCCTATATCTATTTCTTTCATATGACAACAATTTCAAGTCACCTATAACCATTTACACTAATAACTTCTTCGAGCCTAATATTATACATCTGTTATCATTAAATATATATTACTAGTGATTATACTACTGTTACAACTGAATAAACGAACGTTTTATATTTTTACAACTGAAAAATATAAAACAAAATTTATTGAAATTATTTTAATTTAGCAAAGAATTTAGAACACAATGCAAAGTTATTTGTATTGTGTTCTAAATTCTTTGCTAAATTAAGAAAGCCTTCAGGCACAATCTTAATGCACTAAAATAATAAATGCAGAATCATATTATAATATAGTATAATAAGCAATTTCAGTCTAAAGTAATATATATATATGTATATATATTCAAATTTTTTCTATTCTTAATTTTTTCTTTGAGCTAATATTCATATAGATTCAGACAAATATAAAAAATTTTGGTATATAGGCACATTTATGTATATAAACTTACCTGTCAAAAATTGGTAAGTTTTCCATGTTAAGTACATAAAATATATATCTAATATAAAATTCAACAAAACATTAAACTTACTCAAATCAGTAACAGTTCGACTGTCTAAATATTTTTATTATTAACCCTTCTATTTGAAAAAAAAAACAAATGATTTGAAGTGACTAAAAAGCACTTTAGCGCTTTCCAATTGCACTAAAAAATAAAATAAATCTTGCTTTGCTAAGTTGCCTAGTTCTTCAGAATCTGAAAACAAATAAGTAAAAAACCAAGATCAAACAAACATTTATTTACTAAAACTACTCTATTAAAACAAATTAAATTAAACAGAGAACAACATTGATACTCCTTGAAAGCTTAAAAACTTTTCATCTCAAATTTGCATGTAGACTTTACTTATAAAACCACTTGAATAAGAAAAGCATCAAAATAGCCTAGAAGCTACTTAAAAATGGTAAATGCGACAATGAACTTTAAATGCTGATTGGAGTAGAAATTTTTAAAAAATTCAAAATGATTTGTTCTTCTCTGCTCTAAAAAAATAAAGCAAATACTTGCTTAAAATGTTTTAAAAAGACTAGTGACAGAACTGAAACAGTGTTCTTAAAAAAGAAACATTGTGGTAATAAAACTATTTTACCAGTCAATTTAGTTCTAACTACTTCTAAAAAATGAAAAATAAATACATAATTAGATACCTTAAAATAAAGCATAACACAACATTCTTTTGACAAATTCCAGAAGAATTTTTTTATTTTTCTATTCTCA